GAGACTAAGCTCTAAAGAAAGCTGTCTCTGGTGTGGACCAATCCGTTTCAAAGACAATGCATAAATTATCAGAGTTGTGTTTTTTGTTTGCATTTGACTGCAGGTATTGTGGTTAATGTAAGCATGATTCGTTACAAAAGGTGTCAGTTTTGTTGCCAGAAAAAAAAAAGGGGAAAACCCTATTGGTATATTTTGCTACTGGCAAAGGAGGTCCCATGATGACATCATTTCAATGTATTATTCTGAAAGAAATTGTCCCTGCGTGTACTCGCCTTACCTGTCCGCTTTTTGCCACTTAACCAAATCCTCAGGCTGCGTGAAAGTGGTGTACGACATGCTGATGACTGCAAGCAACTGCGGCAGCAATTGGCCATCCGACCAAGAAGACATATTTCGCCTCCTGGTAAGTTACCTGCTGTTCGTTTAAAATTCCTCGCAATAACATGTCACAATATAGCATTTGATGTTTAAAGAATTTGCTCTGCGGTCTGTATGTATGTAGGTGCACGGGAGAGAACATTTTGAAATATTAAAGAAAATCAAGGAAAACCTGGAGCTGATCCGAACGCTGCCACGGATGTCAATGTGTTGCGCAACCTGCAGCAACAACAGTACGTGAACACGAAATAGACAATCGCTGCTCGTACGAGAGAAGTTCCCGATTGCTGCTGTAATTAAATGGTAGCAACAGAAGGGAAGTAATAAAAGATAAAAGAAAAATAATAAAATAATTCTCACGACGTTTCGGCCACAACGCAAGCAGCCGTCCTCAGGTGAAAACCAGGTCTGTCGAAGGCGACAGCGTCTGAATGAAACAGCACACGCGCTTGGAGCATGTATATACGCTGGGTTGGAAGGGGGGGAAGGGCGCCTTGACAAAATAATTTGCACATCAAGAGGGTTAATTTTTTGGGTTTTTTCTCCCTCCCAGATACGTGACGGAATTGCGTGGCAGGCCGTTCAACCTCAGCCGACACGGCAGCGAGTGTTCACAGGAAGTCTTGGCCGGCAGCCAGGGACCCTCCAGTGCCGGCGAAGGTTCCTCATCAGGTGACGCAAGCTCTCCCTGCTCGGCACAGCACATTTCTCTGCACGGAACGTGGCGGCACGCGGTAGAATTGAAAGACGTGACACAATTTGCCACAAAGTGATACGCAGTCTTCTTGGTTCTTTCGGTAGTCGTCACGTAGAAGGGAAGTAATAAAATAATAAAAATTAAACATTAAATAATTCTCACGACGTTTCGGCCACAACGCAAGCAGCCGTCCTCAGGTGAAGAACAGGTCTGTCAGACGCTGTCTTTCCGACAGCTCTGTTCTCCACCTGAAGACGGCTGCTTGCGTTGTGGCCGAAACGTCGTTAGAATTATTTATGATGTTTTATTATTTTATTACTTCCCTTCTACGTGATGACTTTACCGAAAGAACCAAGAGGATGAATTCAATATTACTCGTATATGTCTTGAGGTGTAAATGGTTTTATTGCGAATGCTCATCCACTGGTTGCAGGCGTTGCACAGGATGTTGTGACGGGTGAAGCGAGTGGATCCAATGGTCCCCCCACGGCCACCGGACGGAGACAACCCACGGGCCCGGCTTGGAACCCTGCCGGACAGCGGCAAGCCTGGCAACGCTCTTTACAAGTAAGTGCCCTTTAGGTGCATCATCGTCGCCACCTTTAAACATCGTCGTCATTTTTCGATTTAAAGCTTTCGTGACTGCAGGGATTCATCTTCTTGGTTCTTTCGGTAAAGTCACCACGTAGAAGAGAAGTAATAGAATAATAAATAAAACATAATAAATAATATAATATACATGATAAAATAATTCTCACGACGTTTCAGCCACAACGCAAGCAGCCGTAACGTCGTGAGAATTATTTTATTATGTTTTATTTTTATTATTTTATTACTTCCCTTCTACGTGACTTTACCGAAAGAACCAAGAAGATGAATCCCTGCAGTCACGAAAGCTTTAAATCGAAACGCAAAGTTCGTAATGCAGTTTGGGCTGATTTTTGCACTTGGATTTCCAATAAAAATGTCATTATTTTCCATAGGGATATACAGTACAAGCAATGTAAGTGTTGCTTCACATGTTATTTCTAATCGCAATGTTGACGGAGTAAAAATGTGCAAGTTAATGTAATACAGCCGTACAAAGTACTTGTTCGTGCTTCTTGTATTTGGTATTAACATTTTAGAGCCTTGTGTGTTGTTGTTTTTTCGTGTCTCAAGCTTCCTGAAACAAATCGACTGCTTGGAGTTTTTGGAGAATTTCACTTCACGTGGATTGTCGAGTGTCCAACAGCTGATGGACGTTACTCTACAGGCAAGTTCCTACGGACGCTTCTATGCAAACTACGCGTGTTTTTTAACGTTTACAGGATTGGGATTTATTTTAAGTTGTGCAAGTTTTTCTGCAACATAAAAAATGCACAAAGAAGCTTGGAGAAGATGGAAGGTTGGAATTAAACTTGTAAAGAGTTAATACGTGTGTGGGTGAGTGGTGAGTGGTGAGGGTGAGTGGTGAGCGTGAGTGGTGAGGGAGAGGGGTGAGTGGTGAGGGAGAGGGGTGAGTGTGAGTGGTGAGGGTGAGTGGTGAGGGTGAGTGGTGAGTAGTGAGGATTGTCGTGCCACAAGAGGGGGCTCTGGGACCCTAGGCAGAGAAGCCCTTGGCGCCAGGCGCTAGGATCCCAGGCACCCCAGACAGTTAAACCCTTGGCGCCACCAACGGGGGGGGGGGGGGGCTGTGTGCGCTCTGTGGGATATCTGGAGGCACACACAACCCCACCCCTCGTTGGGCACGAGGCATAAAAGGGCAGCTCCCTGGCCGATTGGGGCCAGTCGCAGGTCAAGACCCGCCAGCCAGCCAGCTTAGGACCCTGTACCCCCTCGTCCCGCTTGTCCTTGTAAGGGCCGGGGCGCTGTGAGGGCCAGTGGTGGGACTCTGGGACTCCCGGCTCTACGTCCTTGTGAGGGCGAGTTCCGAGGAAGCCAGAGTCCAGACCCGCACCTTGGCTGGGGTCGGGTCAGGTAGCCTCCCCTAGGGTAGTTGTAGCCGGAGGACCCCAGAGCGTAGCCAGAGCAGTGTACCTAGGCTGTGTACCTAGGCTGTGTACCTAGGCTGTGTACCTAGGCTGTGTCGCTAGGCTGTGTATTTAGGCTGTGTACCTAGGCTGTGTACCTAGGCTGTGTACCTAGGCTGTGTACCTAGGCTGTGTCGCTAGGCTGTGTATCTAGGCTGTGTACCTAGGCTGTGTACCTAGGCTGTGTACCTAGGCTGTGTATCTAGGCTGTGTACCTAGGCTGTGTACCTAGGCTGTAACAGAGTATCAGGACTGTTGGAGTGTTGTATTGTAATACAGAAGTTACCTCTACAAGTGTCTCCGGAACCCATTACACGTGGATACTGAAACATGCAAATAAAAAACATTGACAACTGCAAAAAAGTAGATGGGCTTGGGCAAGGGAACATCACTGGACTGCATTGTGGCTGGGAAACAAGACCGGTGTTGGAGTGGCATCCAAAGTAGAGCACACATCACCAAGAGGATGACCACCACAGAGATTCGAGTTGTGAGAATATTAGTTCGTGTGTAGTTGATAGATGGATCGTGGTCACATAGCTCGAGTGAGGAGGCTGAGGAGTCCTGATCCAGTAGTGGGTACAAAAAAAAACACATTCCTCCTGCGGAGGGAGTGGGTAGGAACGTTGGGTTGCTCGGTCAATGGCCACTGTGAGGGCGGGCACAAGCCGTCGTGAGTAGGTTAAACGTTGCGTTTATAAGGGCACCACGGGGTGACCAGCCCCTCCCCACCCAGCCCCACCCCTCCCCACCCAGCCCCTCCCCACCCTTCCCACCCAGCCCCACCCTCCCCTCCCCACCCAGCCCCTCCCCACCCTCCCCCTCCCCACCCAGCCACTCCCCACCTTCCCCACCCAGCCCCTCCCCACCCTCCCCTCCCCACCCAGCCCCTCCCCACCCTCCCCTCCCCACCCAGCCCCACCCCTCCCATTTTTGGATGCACGACAGACAGACACAATAATCCCCTGTGGGCTGGTGGAACCAGGTGGTTCCTACCGGTAATACCGACTGATTTTGTACATTAATTGCTCTGAGGAATACACGTCGTCAGAAATTTGAAGAATGTTGTATCGTACACTATGGGAACCTCATTTGCCAGTAAAAATATCATAATTGTTTTTTTTACCCTTCTATCTGGCAACAAAATTGACACCTTTTTACAAGGAGTCATGTTTGTATAGACCACAATACTTGTCTCGGGTGTGGACCAATCAACTTCAGGGACAGTGCACATTATCAGAGTTATGTCTTTTGTTTGTATTATGACTGCAAGGTATTGCGGTCTATGCAAACATGACTCCTTGTAAAAAGGTGTCAGTTTTGTTGCCAGATAGAAGGGTAAAAAAACAATTATCAATGTTGTATCGCTGAACACAAGTTGGTGTGTGTGTGTGTGCATATTTTTTGTATTTCGCTGGATTTTAGGACTTGGATGAACTGGGAGTCCCAGAAGCCAAAAAGCGACTGCTATTGAGTGGAATCGAAGAGCATGGCGTGTCCACCACGATCTCCAGCGAGACGACGCTGCAGCGCTCGTCCAGTGAAGAGACAGTCCACCTCAGCTCCGAAGACGACGACGATGACGGCATCGACACCAAGGACGGCATCCGTGCCAAAGTGTTCCCAGCGCTGCGGCCCTCTGGCAGGAATCTGTCCTCTGTCGGCAATCGGTATCGCAAAAGCAGCATTGCCAAATACAATTTGCGAGCGCACGCTCGCCAAGCCGTTGCCCTTCCTCGTGCTGGCAGCTGGGGAGGCAGTAGCAGCCTGGAGGTGCCCAGGAGCAAGATGCCAAAATTGTCTTCATGCTCTGACATCGAAGAAGAAGAAGAGGGGCTGGAGTGAGGAGAGGAGGGGGGTAGCGATAGATGGATGATGGTGGGAGGTTGTGTGGGCCGTGGGATGCACTTTGTATGAAAAGCCCTTGGGGTAAATAAGCTGGTGTCTTTTGATTTAAAGCTTTCGTGACTGCAGGGATTCATCTTCTTGGTTCTTTCAGTAAAGTCACGGTCGACAGACCTGTTCTCCACCTGAGGACGGCTGCTTGCGTTGTGGCCGAAACGTCGTGAGAATTATTTTATGATGTTTTATTTGTATTATTTTATTATTTCCCTTCTACGTGACTTTACCGAAAGAACGACGTTTCGGCCAGAACACAAGCAGCCGTCCTCAGGTGAAGAACAGGTCTGTCGAGAAGACAGAGTCTGTTTTTATTTATTATTATTTTATTTCCATTCTACGTGACTTTACCGAAAGAACCAAGAAGATGAATCCCTGCAGTCACGAAAGCTTTAAATCGAAATTCCTTTGAGCTTGCTTGCATAGTTTTTTTTTTTACAGAATGCAGTCAATAAAATATAAAGCAGCATCTTGGCTTTACTACCCAAGGCAGGAACTTGTCTCTTCCAAGAAAGAAGTGACTGACTTGTCAGTTTTGTTCCTTCTTAATTTTGGAGCTTTCGTGACTGCAGGAATTATTCTTTGTTTTTTTCGGTAAAGTCACGCCTAAAGATAAAACGTGCCGTTTAAGTCATCTGGAGTTGAAATATACAACACGTTTTGTTTCCATGCAGAGGAGATAGCCATGTTCAGAGCAATGTGCTTTTTTGTTGTGTTGCATTTGCTCGACTGTTCAAAGATCGTTTCAAATCTGCATCTTTTGGAAGGATGAACACGAAGTGGGAAGGTTTTTGCAAAATCAGATGTTCTCATACTCCAGAAGATTGTTGTACGGGGCCTGTCTGCTCTAACCTACTTGATAACAACCCCAAAAATGCCTAAATAAAGTTGATTTGTGACATGTTCCATTCTGCAAAGTTTTATAGACTTTGCTGCTGGTAGCAGATGTAGAGAGAACAACACCTGTCTACACTTCGTGTTCATGGAACTGTCTTAAGCGTATATATGCAGTGGGTTTTTTTAAATCCTTTATATTAAGTTCACTTGCTTGCTTGCTTAGGACCGTGCAAATGTTTTGGTCGTTTTTTAACCCACTTCCCGTCATCCAATCGAGCTGACATTTTGCACACAGACTCGTTGTGCGAGACAATTTATTTTCGTGAAAACATTTTGTTCCAAAATTTTACACTGTTTAGGAATTTTTTAAAATATTTAATTACCAATTGCTTAATGCTGCCAGACAATCATCTTACCCATAGGTGGCAGCCATCTCAAGCCAGAGGACGAGCGGACTCTAGCCGCCATGCATATAAAGGATTTATAGTGAAAAACTTTGTTTTTACGAGTTAATTTTTGTTACAGGTAGGAACAACAGTTCCCCACTGCCCACCAGGGATTATTTGTCTGTCGTGCATAGCCCCTCCCACCGTGTAGCACGCTCCCGGATTGGTTGAAGTGCGTCACGTGACCGCGAGCTTTCTGCCCCACCAAGTTCCTAGCTGGCCACTGTGAAGGAACGTGATTGTGCTGTGGATTCAGAAACCCGAGTTTGAGGGTGACGTCCGAACTGCTGATTGTTTGGGCGCTGACCACTGGTGAAGTACCCGTCTGGTCACTGCCTGCATCTTGGAGTGGATTGAAAAAGGGCTGTTGATATTCTTGAGCTTTGATTAAAAGCCAAAAACCTTTAAAGTACAATTTCAGAAATTGTTTTTCTGGATAAACCACTCGGAAAAAATATATCCAATGTTTGAGTTTGCATACGGAGCCCAAAACCACCTGTACGTTTTGCAATGTGCTTTATATTTGTAGCAATCACTGCCTTTCATGTAAACTGGTACCAGGTGCATACAGCGCATGAGAACGTTCAATTCGAATGTGCAATTCCCTGGAATAGCTACAGTATTGATTTGTTTAAACAAGTTTTGACAATAAAAAAAACTCTCTTTGAACCGTTAACACGATCTTTTCTGACGGTGTTTTTTAATCCAATGTGGCGCGATAGAAATATTTTATTTGCCTTCGTACACGGGTCGATATTGACGGAGCACAGGCGAGTATCACTTTGACGCTGTGGTGGATTGAGCGCAGATATTTGCGTCAGGGGTAGCTGAGCGAATCGCCGTGTGGTAATGATGCCTCCAGGTGTGTCAACCGGGATGTTCTGTTCTGGATCGCAAACAACAAAGTACCTAACACTCACACACACACAGACTCCTACACACACCTACACACACACACCTACACACTCACACAGCTACACACACCTAACACTCACACACACCTAACACACACACCTAACACTCACACACACCTAACACACACACACAGACTCCTACACACACCTAACACTCACTCACACACACCTAACACTCACACACACCTAACACTCACACACACCTAACACTCACACACAGACTACTACACACACCTAACACACACACCTAAGACTCACACACACACAGACTCCTACACACACCTAACACTCACACACACCTAACACTCCACACACCTAACACTCACACACACCTACACACTCACACACACACCTAACACTCACACACACACACACACCTAACACTCACACACACCTAACACTCACACACACCTAACACACACACCTACACTCACACACACCTAACACACACCTAACACTCACACCTAACACTCACACACACCTAACACTCACACACACCTAACACTCACACACACCTAACACTCACACACACCTAACACTCACACCTAACACTCACACCTAACACTCACACACACCTAACACTCACACACACCTAACACACACACACACCTAACACTCACACCTAACACTCACTCACACCTAACACTCACACACACCTAACACTCACACACACCTAACACTCACACACACCTAACACTCACACACACCTAACACTCACACACACCTAACACTCACACCCACCTAACACACACACACACCTAACACTCACACACACCTAACACACACACACACCTAACACTCACACACCTAACACTCACACACACCTAACACTCACACACACCTAACACTCACACACACCTACACCACACACACTAACACTCACACACACATAACACTCACACACACCTAACACTCAAACACCTACACACACACACACCTAACTCAACACACCTAACACTCACACACGACCTAACACTCACACACACCTAACACACACACACACCGAACACTCACACACACCTAAACTCACTCACACCTAACACTCACACACCTAACACTCACACACACACACACTAACACTCACACACACCTAACACTCACACACACCTAACACTCACACACCCACCTACACTCAACACACCTAACACTCACACACACACCTAACACACACACACACCTAACACACACACACACCTACACTCACACACCTACACTCACACACTAACACTCACACACACACACCTAACACTCACACACCCTAACACTCACACACACCTAACACTCACACACACCTAACACTCACACACACCTAACACTCACACACCACCTAACACACACACACACACCTAACACACACACACACCTAACACTCACACACACCTAAACACACACACACCTAACACTCACACACACCTAACACCACACACACCTAACACTCACACACACCTAACACTCACACACACCTAACACACACACCTAACACTCACACACACCTAACACTCACACACACCTAACACTCACACACACACACCTACACACACACACCTAACACTCACACACACCTAACACTCACACACACCTAACACTCACACACACCTAACACAACACACACCTAACACTCACACACACCTAACACTCACTCACACCTAACACTCACACACCTAACACTCACACACCCACACACCTAACACTCACACACACACATAACACACACACACACCTAACACACACACTCCACACACACCTAACACTCACACAACCCTAACACTCACACACCTACACTCACACACCCCTAACACTCACACACCTAACACTCACACACCTAACACTCACACACACCTAACACTCACACACACCTAACACTCACACACACCTAACACTCACACACACCTAACACACACACTCACACACACCTAACACTCACACACACCTAACACACACACACACCTAACACTCACACACACCTAACACTCACACACACCTAACACTCACACACACCTAACACTCACACACACCTAACACACACACCTAACACTCACACACACCTAACACTCACACACACCTAACACTCACACACACACACCTACACACACACACCTAACACTCACACACACCTAACACTCACACACACCTAACACTCACACACACCTAACACACACACACACCTAACACTCACACACACCTAACACTCACTCACACCTAACACTCACACACCTAACACTCACACACACACACACCTAACACTCACACACACACCTAACACACACACACACCTAACACACACACTCACACACACCTAACACTCACACACACCCCTAACACTCACACACCCAACACTCACACACACCTAACACTCACACACACCTAACACTCACACACCTAACACTCACACACACCTAACACTCACACACACCTAACACTCACACACACCTAACACTCACACAGGTGACTGATGGATGAGGGTGAGCGGCGCTTTGTAAACTCGCCTTCATCGTCTCCCTCGCCGACTCGCCGAGTGTTTGTGTTGTTGTTGTTGGAAACGTCCCGACGTCAGATTGAAGCTTGGACGGGCGAGCCAAGGGAAGCTCCAGCAGCGGAAGAAACTCGTCACGTTGCAGACACCGTGTGACGCGTACCACGTGACAGAGACGCCAACTCCCACGTGCCCTTGAATGCCCCTTCTCGGTTCAAGCGGCGCCCGTTCTGCACGCACAAAAGTGTGATTTTGATGATGAACGAACGAAGGAGCAACGAATAAACAAAACCCGGACGACGCCGTGGCAAATCGGAGTTCTTTCTGCTGCCAATTCTCGTCGGCATCTCTCGCGCAACGCGGACCGCACTGCGCGCGTTCCTCGTCCGTGCCGGCCACACGGTTGATATCGGCAATAACGACGGAGCGAGACACGGAGCGAGATAAAATAGCCGCCTCCTATAATTTACGCTTCAACTAAAAAACAAGTATAACCCGTAAAAACAAAGTTTTTCACTATAAATCCTTTATATGCGTGGCGGCTAGAGTCCTCTCGTCCTCTGGCTTGAGATGGCTGCCACCTATGGGTCAGATGATTGCATTGCACCATTAAGCAATTGGTAATTAAATATATTTTGTCCTAAAAAGTGTGTGTCAGTGTGTGTGTCAGGCT